GAAAACTATGCGATCACTGGGATAAGACTTTGATTTGTCTGACGTTTCGAAGTCCTTCATGGATTCTTCATCAGAGACATTAGGATAAACAGTAGTAGAAACGGGTAGCTCATGCACAGGGGGGTTGCAGTATTTATAGGGTACAGTCACTATGCTACTACACACTTATGAAAACTAACGACTCTCCCTATCGAGGATAACTGGCTGCTTGTGCGCTAATTGCTTGATGCCTAATGTGCGGGCCGTGATCTGCTGAACTTTCAGCACACGTGGTGGAATTGGACGTGAGGATTACTCGGCTTGCGTTTTTTCGAGGAAAATGGTTTCCACAATGTGAAACGAAAATTCAAAGAGTTGAATGTGTGATGGGTATTAAATTTTCCAATTGGTGGACTGTCCTCTACTGTTTGATTTAAACCTGTCGATGTACATTCTTTATAGGACTGGCTGAGCAAACTCTACCCGAACATTGTTAAGGTAATTTTCTTCTAGATTCCATTTTTTTCACTTTATTTACGAGTTTTCTCAGTCCTTGTTCAAGTTTAAATTATTTAGCGAGAGTGTGAAAAACCCAATTGTCAACCGGAAATTTGAATGCATTCGACTGTCAGTTACTCTTAGTCCTACTTCTTTCCCACAAGCCTACGTCTGTATATTGATCACCTGAAGGTACTATTCGGGAAATTACGCGGCGGTTTTTTGCGCGCGAATATCGTCAGTTTTTCTCCCGCGCAGTGAGGTTAAGACGCCTTCTTACCTGGTAATACATATAACGTATTGCCACTGTTTGCTGACCTGTGTGTACAGTTTGTTTCACAAACTCCGTCCCGCAGACATTTGATTTGGAATCCTGTCAGCCGTTGATACGCCACGGATCGACAGATGTTTTGGCTAGGTGCATGCGCAGACTTGCATTCATCTAGCACTCCCTCTTCGAATTACTATTTATAGTACCTAGAGTTTGGTGCTCTCTAAGAAGCTTGGCTTTCTGCCAGAGGATACCATAATTATTCTGCCGCCGGTGCCAAAAGCCGGTGCCCGCCAAGTTCCCTAGTCAGGTGCCACTGGTAGATGGGTCTCGATTGGATACTCAAAGGTTCACACAGCGCACTCAAGGAATCCTAGACTACGCAACAGCTCAAGCCTTTGCCCAAGGTAAACTGAACCGGACTCGTCATCCTAATTGGGCCCTATCGCTGTTTTAGCCTACAAAATGTGTATGAGTTGCAGCCAAAGAAGTCGATTGCCGCCTGTTGTATTTTATATCCACCGGGGGAGTTATCATATTCCCTACTTTTTGCGAACTGACAACGGAATCGTTTGAATTACCCCTTCCGAGAACCATATACGTCCATTTTCTGCTTCCTACGAGATTACCAGCGGTCATTCGTCTAAACTAAATCACTTCTCAATAAAGTAGCATACCAACTTGCGCGACCTGTCTGAGCAGGCAACTTCAGATGGCTATTAATCGCACCTGTTATGCGCAAAGAACATCGCAGCTTTTCAGAATGCCAACAAGGCTAGTTCAAAACATGAGCTGGTATTTGTGACCCCCTTCAGAATCTTTCGTAAGGTTGTGGTCGTGAGCGGTTAAACAAACTCACCAGGCAGAGACTCCTGTGATATGAGAATGGCGGTAATAGGGGCATTTACGCTCTTTTGTTTGTTTAAATGCACCAATAAAGTGCGAAAACGCGAACGCACAATTTGAGGTACTGTAACTTCGGAGTTCTAACTTAGCGGAAAATGAAAACACAGGGCATCGCTTAAATGTATCAGGCGGATTAATTCCGGCTCTTGATGAACAATCACATTGGAAGGGAAAGTTTGCAGATACAATCTTGAAATTGGACACTCATTATAGCCGCAACTGAAGATATAATTGAAGTTGGCAACGTAGATAGCCTAATCCCTTGTTTTTAAATCTGTGTCGAAAGCTTAGCACTAACCCCTACGACTAGACCTAACTCTGAAGCCTCATCCTAGCCTCAGGCCCCAACCCTGACTCTTAAACTCCGAGTAAATATAGTGTTCAAGTTAACCCAAAGCTGCTAACTAGCCCTAATGTAACAGCTTGGGAAGCGTGACCGAGAATCGCGTAAAGAGCAAGGGACTAAAGTAAGCCCATCCGAATGAAATAAGTAGGTAGTTCCTGACAGTAAAAAATTTATGGGGCTACAAATGCAATCCTCTAAATGTGATTCGTCCTCTCTTGTGGATATTCGGTTCCAAAGGCGAGAGAAGCCGCTCTCGCTTTGTTGTGCTGTCTGAGTTTTGGCAAATGTGACACCTTGGCTGTCATGAGATGCCTGCCTTCTATATCCCCGTCCTCTGACATCCGCTCTGCTTGGCCATTTCAGGTTGAACAGCCGCGTTTCGTGGAGTTGGAGGAGGTGTCCACAGAACTGCGGTTGAAGCAACTCTTGTGGGACAGCATCACCGAATGGGATGAGAAGCAGCAGAAGTGGATGGAGGCAGATTTCCTGTCCCTTGACCCCGAGGAGGTGTCTGGAACCACCATGAAGTTCAACAAGACAGTCACCCAACTGGAAAAGGGTCTCCCACCAAATAACGTTGTTCCTCTTCTGAAGTACAAGGTTGACAAAATGCGAGTAATGGTAAGCGTTCTGCATAATAAAACAGTCTATGAAGCTATCTCTGAGCGGTCGAAATAAGTTACTGAAAGGGGATTTTCCAGTTCGATACAGTATTTGCTTCCGTCTACCGCCTTAATTAATTTCACGCCTGAATGCCCAGTATATGTGTATGTAAATCATCCGGGATCCGAACTAGGTATGGCGACACGCTTAAAGGCGGTTCTGGTCAAGCCAGCCACCTGCGCCCTCTTCCCGTGTGAGTACCAATTTCATTGAGGACAGCGCGGCAACTCAGGAGAACCCTTTGGAGGCACCACGATCACTTCTCGCGCAGATCCTGGATGGGAGTGGTCTGAACCTTTGTCGGCGAATATAACTAATGTTCCTTCCTTTCTTCCCTCCCTGCCGTAACCGTTCCGTCTCACATGCTCCTTGCCTTCAGCACCTCCATGGCCCTCACCCGCATTTGCCGACAGCGCTGAAAGCACCATCGGTTTGCAACTGATATTTCATGTCCGCCTCTCACTCTAAACGGATCAATTATATAGGGCCTCGCTAATCCCCTGTATCGATATCTTCCCCTTTCTATAATTTATCCATTTGTTTATTATAACAGATTTATCCCCTGTGAACTCGTTACGAACTAAGGTATTATGCCATCTTGAAGATACGAACACAAACCTGCTGGCTTGCTAATGTTTTTTGTTAATTAAGGAGTACTGCTAGACCGACTGCAGTCGATTTCTTTCTACGTGCAAGTCAACAGTGCTCGCAATCGCCGCATCAAGGTGTGGTCTGTGTTGGCATGTGTTAAGTCACATTTTTCCTCCACAGTTATCACAGGTTTGACCGAAGATAACCAGTTTCGCAGCAGATTTTTGTAATAAATAAAAACGCATTTAAAAAAAAAGATTGATCCAACTGGCGTTCCCATAAGAGCCCAACCATTTACAGATTCTTGTGTAAAGCAGATGCAGCGTAAACAAACTTCAATTAAGATCAAATCCATGCTGGGATTATGACCTCATTCACCTTATAAAGTAGTAGTGGCCTGCTTCGCGTGCGGCGGTCGACACTATTACGTGGCTTACCCTACGCTTCACCGGTTCCTCTCGCCTTGTTTTTAGCTACCAGCAATATCGGACATGCGGAATCCTGCGTTGAAACAACGGCACTGGGCCCTGCTGGAGGAAGTTATCGGCTTTTCCATGAAGGAGTTGCCCATGCCGCTCAATCTGGGCAAACTGGTCGAATTGAACGCATTTCAACACTCTGAGAGGATTCAGGAAATTGCCGGCATGGCCAGTTCAGAGGCCAGTCTGGAGACACTGCTGAAGAAGGTACGTTGATGGATGGCCGTTGGTTGGTCCTCGGTCCAGCCAACTCCAACTCACAAGGGGTTAAACAGGTTGTGTGTGTGTGGGGGG